TGGAAGGATGGATGGATGGATGTTGGGGCAATCGATGTTGCCTTGCCATCGGGAGGGGGTAGTTGCTGCTACCTGGAAGACCTGCTTCCTCCGGCGTTAAGCTTGGGAGGTCCCGGGCCCACTCACACTGGGGAGTGGGCTGAAACTCATTGCCGCCATCCCCCCCTTCCCACCCCTCTCCCACTTGTCTAGACAGGGTTGTAGGGGCTGGGCGCCCAGGGAGGCTGGGGTTTCTCTTCCGCCGCCATATCCTCCCTGGTCTTGGAGGCAGGTGGGGGGCCCCCCCCCCCCTTTGTTTCTGGCCTCGCTTATTTACATGTCAATGCGGCCCCGTTCCAGCAAGCCTGGAAGTGGCCCCAGCCACTCAGGGAACTGGAAATGTAAGGCGCTTGTTTGTTTTCCTCCTCGGATCCCTAACTACCAGGTTCTAGTAGGGGAACTAGAAATCATGACCATCTCACTCAGCCCTCACCTGCCACCGGGTAACCGGGACCCCCTGCTTTGGCGGTGTAACTTGGGCACATTGACTGTCCCACCCCGGGTCTAGAAGACGCTCTGAGACTCTCTAGAAGCTGGATTCTGGGAGAGTGTCTCCTTTCTCCTCCCTAAAGTGAAGCGCAAAGACCTGTTCGGGCTTCATTTACTGACACTTAAAAAGTTAACATTTATCTGTATTTTTGTACGTCATCCGCTCCTCCTTACTCTAACTTACTGCTTTATCTGCCCATATCCCGCTCCCTTGGTTCCCCTCACTGCTCGTCCCCAGACGCCGCACCAGGCTGCAGGCCAGCCCTTCAAGTTCACGATCCCAGAGTCCCTGGACCGGATCAAGGAGGAATTCCAGTTTTTGCAGGCGCAGTATCACAGGTGCGTATCCAGCGGCTCTGCGTGAGTGGTCGTCCTGGAGCTGCTCCAGTGTCCCAGTGCCCCTTGCTCAGCTTGGTGACAGCTGCTGTACTTAGTGCTTGTGTCCAGGCGGTGGCGTGTGGAGTCGCAGTTAAGACCTGTCATTCACGTTTCCCCCTTTCCTGGCTCTTCCCTGGCTGCCTTCGTTGCCTGTCTCCTCCTCCTTCCATTGTTTCCCTTTTGCCCGTTTGCTTCTGTTTCAGGCAGCTCTTTATCGTGTATTTAGGAGTTGCATGAGAACCGTCAATATTTGCACTTCTTTTATTTATTTTGCAACAGGCTGAGCTGAAACATTGGTTCAATCGATGCTCGAGCTCTGAAGTGCGGGTTCATGGACACAGCTTGCCTTGCTAGGGAATTGGATTGTTTGAGGCAAAGTCCATGCAGAAAGCTTGCTGCTTTTAGCTGTGCCCATTGTTGGTGATGATGGGGGTTGAGGGGAGGGGGGCTGGACGGTAGTGTGTAGGAGAAAGTTCACCTGCATTGGCATCATTCTTTATAGGTTTGTGCAGGACAGGAGATTGGAGTCATACTTTTATGTCCATCTCAACCTTAGTTTCTTTATCTAATGACACCTGCCTTCAAAGGATTCACGAATGAAAACTATTCGTAGCGTGTCTGGCTCATAGTGGACTTTGCACTAATGTCAGTTCCTTGCCATGCATTTATAAAGTCGTGGCTGATAGGAGGGAAGAAATAACTGTAATACCTGTAATTTTTCTTTTCTTTTTTCTTTTTTGCAGTGTATGGGAAAAACACAGATTAAGTTAGGTAGCTTGGGTATTAATTTTCTTTTTTGCCCTCTTCAGGGGGTTTCTGATTGTTGACCTTTTGTCTACTTGTAGGTAATGTCTCTAGAGCCTGGTGCATACCAGCACAGACTGTGTTTACCAAGCTGGGAGAACTTCAGCCCACTTTATTCCAGTAGCAGGTTAACATATTTTGTCAGGCGTGTAAACACCAAAGGTTTTCAAAGGGAACAGCAGCTGTAGAAAAACTTTACAGGTACAGTTTAGTTGGCTAAAATGGTACAGCCTATCACTGAGACTAAAGATTGTGGAAAGGCCAGGTTTGGGTGGCCTGCAGAGAAGCATGCTGACAGCCGACTGAACAATTGGCCTTGAGAAGGAATCCACCTTCTGGGGTAGGCCAGAGGTTTTGATGTTTTTTTCCATCTGGTCGTCTGTGGCCAAGTATGCGCCAGGAAGAAAAAGAATAGTAGTTGAGTGGATATCCTGTGCGGGTCGCTTTTCTTTTCCCCTATTGAATGTACGGACAAAGCTTTTGGGTGCTTAACCCAGGTAGTTTATGGCTTTTCCAAATTGATCTGTTTTTACTTGAAGTGCAAATATGTGAGGCAGATGTTAAAACAAGTGACATAATGTTTACATTAAGTTGCCTGTTTTGTTTTCCTAGCCTTAAATTGGAATGTGAGAAACTGGCGAGTGAAAAGACAGAAATGCAGAGGCACTATGTGATGGTAGGTATCAAAGTCTGGGTTTTTTTCTTTCTTGTTTAATGTTAGCAAATATATGTTCTTAGCATTGCAAACACACGAGTTAATGAAATACTTAATTCATTTTTTCTCTTTACAGTATTATGAAATGTCGTATGGCTTGAACATTGAAATGCATAAACAGGTAAGCTTTAGTTAAGCCCAAATGAGAAGTCAGATCGTTAGGATTGTATAATACTGCCTTTGTCCTCAGTTATAGGGGTTTGGAAGCCATTTTTCTGCCTTGGTTTCTCTTTCTGTGAGTTGGTGTGGAATTCTGTAGCAAGGACTATTTCTGGACCATTATGGGGTGTTTAAATGACTAATGAGAGGTGCTTAGGAAATGTGAATGTGTATGTTTATAGGCAGATTGGAATCATGACAATTTACTTTTCCATCTGGAAAATTCTCTTGAAAGATCTAGATGTCGTACGAAGTCACTGAAGCTCAGAATAGCTGTTTTTGTGTTGGTTTCGAAAAGAAATGTTGATATGTGATTGAGGGCAAGGAGGTGTGGGTATTCTGAGAGTTTAAGTGCCTGAAACAAGGTATGCGACTCACTGTGGAGTTTTCTTGGTGCTGGGACTGCATAAAGATCGCCCAGGTGCAGTGGCTTATTAATAAACATCTTTTTGAAAGATGTCTCTGTTGATGCAGGCTTGGAGATGAAAAAAGCATCTTTTTTTATGGCCACAGCATATGCCGGGAGCTGCTTCAGTCCTAGAAGTTTTAAAAGCATGAAAAGATTAGTGACTGGAAAGCTCTAGCGATGACTATGAGTTTGCAAGTTCCCATAAAATTCACACTTATGGCTACTATAATGGTGTATAAAAAGAGTATTGAGCTGGAACAAGGCACTAAGGACCTCATAAGAGAAGAAAAGCTAAATGATTGCTCAGCCCAAAGGCCCCTCGATTGAGTAGTCATTGTCTGCCAAAGAAAGCATTAATGGCAGGGTGTAAGTATTCTGGAGATATGCTGACAGTCACTTTTTCATCAAGGCGCCGGTACAATAAGTCTTTTAGAAATCGATTGCCTCTTAAAAAATTATCATCAGATGAAGTTGCACAGTTGGACACATTTCAAAGTGTAACAATACAATTCTTACTTGATGTATATGTGCTATTTCATCTGAAACCCTTGTTTCATTAAATTAAAGAGCATGGCTGACCGGCTGGGGCACAGTGAAGAAATTGATTAGTTCAGCCTTCAGATCTTCCTTATATTCAAAGACTTTCATTAAGCAAGTATGTTTCAGAGTTGAATTCTGCTTTTGTAACTCTGCACTCATGTACATTGTATCTGTTCTCAGATATGTGCTGAGAAGGAGATAGTGTTAAGTTCAAGGCCTTTTATTAGTAATATAATTCAGCCTTTTAAGCAGTCTGGTATTCTGATTTGCAGTTGTAGCCTTGTTCGTCTTAGGGTTCACCTTTGTTTTTGTATGCTTAAATGACCAGTGCTCTATTAAGGAAATTATAACTTGTTAGTTGCTGGACTAGGAGATCGATGGCTAAGCATTGGTTATTTAAATGAATTATGCAAATGAACTTGGCCTAAGTGTTCTAACCTGTTACTCTTTAAAAACAAACTAAGGTACTTTCTTAGTAACATATGGAAGGAATTACAGGAAACTGGGCTTTCTCTTAAGCTCATACACTCAATAGGAATTAATAAAGCTTCCAACTTTTTTATAAGGGAACTCATCTCTGAAATATGGTATGCTACTCCTGGATTTATTGGGGGCACTAAGGACGTGTGTAACCTGGTGTTGTTACATGGTGGAGTAACTTTAGTTTTCTATATCAAGAGTTGGAAGAAGGGGTAAACGAGCACCATAGCCCCATGGCATGGAAATGGTTTTCTAACACGTTCCTCTATTGCCCTGGGCAGTTGTGGGCCTGTGATGCCTGTCCCAGAGCCTGGGTGCATTAATGCTGTGTGCTGTTTAATTGGCTTAGTAATGTGACAAATGTGAAAAGCTGAGAGACAGACAACATATTCTTTATAGTGTGGTATTAAGCCCCCTGAAATTTGGTGACAACCTTAACTGGAGTGGTGTGCAAAGCAGTGATTTAATTCAGTTTAAAGTGGCCTTACATTCGAAAAACATCCTTCTGAATGTCACACATTAATAATAAGTTCTGAGAAGGCATTTGGTGCAGCTAGTAATCATAATTCTTATTAAAACTGGTGACGTCTGGTCCCCAGGGTGTAGCCAGGCTCAAATTGATGCTTTTTGCCGCCTGATCACCAGCATGGCCTAAGTGCTCATTATATTGTAGAGAAGGCCTTTGGAGCTCTCATTAGATTTGACAGGAATTCTCTCTAGGGGGAAACTGGGCATTAGCGAGACTCCTGACAGGCTGGAATTATTCCTGCTTTATGGCTTATAACCAAATGCTAGCAAGGCATCATCAGGGGACACAGAAAAATTGTCATTTCTGACAACATCTTTGTTACTGAAAAAAATACAGTGATGGAGAAACTTTGAGCAGAGAGTTTTAATGTTGTTAAGATTTGTTTCCTGGGGGACGGTCACCCGCCCTCGCACCCTCCCACCTTTCCGTGGGTCTGTCTAGGGAGTGAGTTTCAGGGATTTCAGTGTCAAGTCTCATCACCAAGTTTTCCAGCTGGAAGTTTTAAAGTGGAAGTGCGTCCAGATCAAGAATGGTATCATTGTGGTTTCCTTCCTTGGTGTGGTGCCCCCGGCTCATGTTTATGTTATGTCAGTACTTCCTGATAAGCCTTCCCCTTACTTTCTCTTCCCTCAGTCCGGGTGGGCAGGTTACAGAAAAGTCAGATATTTAAATCCTTTTTATTGTAATGGCAAGACACTTCTATTTTCCTAAGAGCCCTTTTCTGAGCTCTCTGCCTTCCTGTTAGGTCAATAGGGGCTCAGCAGTAGCATTCTCTCCTTGGGTGCCGCAGACCTTGGTTCGGACCTTGGTTCAGTTCGGTCCCAGCCCAGTGCACTTCATGCGCAGCGCCCGGGAGGGGGGGG